GTAGCTAGTCGAAGTGACTATCAAATGCGCTCTGGCTCTTTGAGGGCTAGTGTAATAATATTGTATTGTGTGCACACTGAGCTAATTGATGAATTGTACTTGGATAAATTTTAGTATGTTTTCAAGTATTTATCATTTATTAAATATTTCAAGAGAAAGTAAATTTTCATGGTTCTAAACAAATTTAAAATCTAACGTAAAACTACAACAGACCTATGTTTTATATGCAGGATACTGTCCATGCTATAATAATTGTTTATTAGAATCACAGTTGGTAAACCTTTACACCTCATGTGAGGTAAGATTGAGTGTGTGTATTTGTTTATTTGTCTTCAATATGTATTTCATGTAAATATTCTGCATAACGTACTACTATTGTTTGCAGTCGACTGTAAAGTTGTACATTACGTCACGATCTTGTTGACAGCTGCTCTCACGCCTTCTATTGCAATCTTTACGACTGGAACTCTCTTCCTATCCCTGATTGGTTGCTCGTGCAACAGACTATATCCTTGTCAATGTTGATAATCTGAGTCGACCAATCACGTGAATTGTTTACGCTGGGTGCATCTGACGAAAAAGCTCGTGAAGTAATGTGAAACTTTACAGTTAGCTGCAAACAATAGTATTTTCTTTTACGTTCGTTTTATTTTGATTTTGTTTCGTTTTATTTTGTTTGTTGAGAAATTGTCTATTATTCATGATCTATTTTATCAAATATTATCAGAAATAACTATTTTTCACGATTAAAAAGTTTATTGATTTTATAACGTATAAATATATACAGCAGCAAGTAAATTGTAAAGTAAAGTGATTCTTGGCTAAAGATTTTTGTCATTGGTCATTTGAAAAATTATTTTGTTAAAACAGATTCTGATTGCACACATAAGTACTCTGAAGTTGACATCAAGAAGATGCATGAGTTTCTGATTGACAATATCTATGTGGTTTTTGGAGACCAGGTATTCCAACAATCTATTGGAATTCCCATGGGCACAAATTGCGCTCCGTTATTAGTAGACTTATTTTTATATTCATATGAAACAGAATTTATGCAAAATCTTTTACGTGAAAAGAAGAAAACACTTGCTGTGGCTTTCAACTCGACATTTAGATATATCGACGACGTATTGTCAATTAATAATAATAATTTCCATTCCTACGTCGACACGATATATCCTGGTGAGCTTGAGATAAAAGATACCACAGAGTCCGACACTTCTGCTTCATACTTGGATATTTTACTTGAAAAAGACACTAATGGTAATCTAACAACCAAGCTATATGATAAACGTGATGTCTTTAACTTTTCTATCGTCAACTTCCCTTACTTATGCAGCAATATACCTTCATCACCTGCATACGGAGTATTTATATCTAAGTTGATTCGATACGCAAGAGCATGCTCTACGTATGAACAATTTCTTAAACGAGGTAAATTATTGACAAGCAAGTTGATGAAACAAGAATATCAACAGTCTCGTTTAAAGTCATCATTTCGTAAATTCTATGGTCGATACAATGACCTTGTCAGCAAATACAATTTATCATTGAATGAAATGCTGACTGACGTTTTTCATACCAATTGTTAGTCCATTATTTATACACTGAATTGACCACGGATTTTTTCCGTTATTTCCTGATTATGACAACAAGCACACGGCGGGTGTGACCGGTCGGCAGGGGATGCTCACTCCTCCATGGCACCTGATCCCACCTCTGATGTTTCGGAGGTCCGTGTTTGCTCTGCTCTTATTTTGTATATTTGTTTAATGGACGTTGAGATTGAATACTGTTCGTTATTTCCATATCCTTCTTGTATAAGTATTGTGTTTTTTTTGTTATTAATTTGACTATATTTATTCACAGGGTTATACATGTACCATTAACTGAATAAAAAAACCTATCCTCATCCAAAACGGACTCATTCATCTTTACCGGATACCCTTTTACATTCCCCTCCAAAAAACACCAGTAAGAGAAATGATGACTGCACTTAAGGAAACTCAGAAATTGCGACATAATTAATTTTAAATGGTAGAAATGGCCAATGTCTTAACTGCAACTTTTTGTAATTACGTTAATTAAAAGTTCGTATTAACGAAGTTCGAAGTCGTTTTTATTGGGAGGGGTCATCGCATATTCTAGAATAACCATAGGATAATGAGTACAGCCACCTTTTTACAGGCTTATACATAGTCAGCGCATGTTTATCTATTGTTCTCCTTTTTGTGGTAGTTGTATATTTATATATATTACCTCATATTAAAAAGAGATCAAAAGACAATAGACAAACATGCGCTCATGGTTGAAAAGAGAAAAAACTGTTTCTTTGTGTGTTCTCTTTCTCTATAATAAACAGGCCATTTTGACCACGTTGTTACCTGTTGAATATTATAATTAACAACGCGATTTCTATACCCAGGTTACTCTGTGAATACTAAAATTCCATCACGTGACTTGTAAGGAAACAAGCATTCTGCTTGGCGATAGTGATTGTCCATATCTGTTTCACATCATTCCCATCGAGCCACGGGTTATTAATTTTTCTCTTAGATATCTTATGGTTATTCTTATATTTATCTCAATTGTCCTCGGGTGACAACCCTACTCAGACCTGATAATTGGTGATGTCTCCCTTCTAAACAGTCCATAAACATGATAAATGTATAGTGTAACAGGGGAAGTATTTTAAATTTAAACACAGTAAAGTGGGCTAACAGTATTACTCAACAGGTTTTCTTGATTTCCAATCTAGAGTCTGATTTTTGATGCTGTAAAATACTGTTACTATACAGCAGATACACGTATATGAATTCCAACAATGAAATGATTTTTAATCACTACAGGTTAAAAACATATTATAATTTACTGGATATTGTTTAGCCCTGACACTCTGCTATGAACATATTTTTAATGTAAGGGAACATTTACTAGGCTTTTTAAATGAGATTTCATGATTTTACTTGCTAGTTACACAGATCTGAAGCTTCAGCACACATTAAACGCCCACCCTGCTAACTGTATCTGTATCGAGTTTGATCCCAAGGGAAAATACTTTGCCACAGGAAGTGCCGACGCCCTGGTCAGTATCTGGGATGTAGCAGAGTTAGCGTGTGTCAGGACTCTCTCTAGGTTAGTGTCAAATGCCAGGAAGTCTTATAGGCAATTTAGACATTTTTCTTGCATCTCATTTTCCAACTGAATGAAAAATCTTGTCCTGAATTGTCGTCTATTTATCAGGTTAGAATGGCCAGTGAGAACATTGAGCTTTAGTCATGATGGTAAAATGTTAGCCTCAGCATCAGAAGATCTCATCATAGACATTGCAGAAGTCGACTCAGGTATGCTTAAACACAACACACAGAGTCATGTTTTGAACGATTTAAAAAGTCATGCACATTTCAAGTTTTTAAAAGTTATTTCTAATAACCAGATAACAGAATTTGTCCTGTGACTTGGCCAAAAAAAATCTTTAGTGGGTTAATGAGTTTCATTAATGAATATATGGCTGATAGAAGTTTTTGGTACATGTACCTCTCTGAGGTGAGAAGGATAGAATCTGGTTAATGATGAATGGTAAAAGGTTAGAGACTCACACAGACACTTAGCTGACCTACTAATCTGGTGACAGGTGCCCCCGATTACAGCTCAGGGTGAAGAGTCCTCATCCTGAGTCTAATGAGGGAGGTACATTATAATTGTCTAAACACAATCCTGTCAGGCCGAGACACTCCCTGGCCAGGTACCACAGACAGACAGACAAACAACAGTATTACAACCTGTCACTGGGATAGGAGAGGCAGATAAGTGGTGCTGAGTTAGTGCTGACAATAGCTTTCTGAAACCAGAAATTGAAAAATTTAAATGACATCTTTTGCAGCTTTTGTTTTACTTTGAAATAAAAGCATGAATGGTCGGTGAGTTCTGAATCATCTTTAATTTTTACAGGGGAGAAAATCACAGAGATTACATGTGAAGCTCCTACGTTTACTGTTGCCTGGCACCCAAAGCGCCCTCTTCTGGCCTATGCCTGTGATGATAGAGACACGTATGACAGAAATCGAGACGCTGGTACTGTAAAAGTGTTTGGATTTCCCAGTGACAACTCTTGAGAGTTTTATAAATAGAACTTGGGAGAGACCTGCCTTGGCTATTTTCCTTGATAAACATTGGACAGAGGAATGATCAGTGGATTTTATAGAAATAAGAGAGGCAAATGAAATCAGTTATGATGATGTTACAGTATTGAAGGAATGAACTGTCACGATTTTGACAGACTGGAACATTGCTGATCAAAGACACAGTTTTTCAAAAAATGTTAAGAAGATGACTGTAAATTAAGTACTACATGTAGTACATAAATGGTCTGTTTTAAGATTTTTTTTTATGCAAAACCCTTTTTTTCAAAGATGTCTTTTGTGGTAAACAATAAATGAAGACATATTTAGTGTACATGTATTCCGACCCATGTGTTTTATGTCTATTTGCCTTGTCCAACTTTGCTAGTTCTACTATGCTTTCCAAGTATCATTTTGATCATTTCTGACACTTTGTCTTCAATTATTTTCAACACAGACACTGCTATAAAAATACAAAGCAATAAATTGCAATAAGATTTTCATGAAAAGTCCTTGAACACGATTTGCCATTCACTAAATTGATATTGTGTATATTCATTAAAAGATGGTCATTCTATAGGCAAATACAATAAGTTGTACAAGACTGTATGGATAGTGTAATTGACAAAAGAGGGACAAAGAGTACTAAAAAGAAATGTATACAGGATTATTTTTACACTTGCAAACATTTTGCTCCATTTTATCTAGGCTAGTACATTTAGGGGGCATCTGTCTTTTGGGTCAGTTTTTTGTGTAAAACAAAATACTGGGTGTGTTTTGAATTCTCCCTGTTTTAAATTCGCACACATGTACACGTGTACCAGTAATGGAAAAGTAACTAAAAGTCCTATGTTGACCAAACTTCCATGCATAGATACATATAAGGATGCACATTGCCAAGCTTGTTTTGGTTGCAAAATTTGACCTACATTTTCCAGTTTAGTGAACATGTTAATTTTTTTAGTGCAGGTCCCATTTCCAGGCTTGCTTCAGATGCTGGATCTGACCTACATATTCTGGTTGAGTGAACAGCTTTAATAAAGTTTTTTGTACAGGTCCCATTTCCAAGTAACTGACCCCTATGTTGACAACATTTGCATTGTTGGTACATTTGAGGATGCACACTACCAGGCTTGCTTGAGATGCTGGATCTATGAATTACATTTTCCGGTTGAGTGAACAGGTTAAAGTTTCTGGTGCCATTTCCAAGTAACTATTTACAAATTGCAGACCTTGGCTGCAATTTGTATAGATGTTTCTTTAATTTAATGAATTCTTCAATTAAAGACTTTTTCTCAGCTTTCAGATCAACTGACCAATCTGGAAGATGTGCAACTTTCCCTTTCAAACGTAAGCCATTGGCAAAAGAGAAAATGCCACTCATATTTTATTGAATTAGGTAGAATATGACTGGGGCTTGATCCCATGACTTTTCAATAAAGGAATCTAGTTAAGGTACCATGATTTGTAGAAACAACACTTTGCACTACTTGAGAATGCTTGCTTTTTATGAAAACTACCCGGTAATCAGAACTCTGTGTTCTTGAGATGGTAACTGTTTAAACTAAGTGTTGCTCAACCATTTACCTTCAAGAGGTAAGCATTGATTAAAATTCAATGCACATATAATGTCTGTAAGCTTTCACATAAGAAATATTTTAGAACCTAAAACCTTTAGGAGATTTAAATAATTGATGCCACTTAATTTTTATAAATTACCATTTTCAAAATGCCTCTACTCGAAAGAGGGTACGTTGTGGGTGCCTCATTTGAACAAACTTAATTAAGTTTCCTATTTCATGAAATATATATTAATTATGACAATTAAATTTGCTAGAAATTGACCATTTCCTTCTGACCACTTCCCTCTGTAGAAGAAACTTCATATCATAAATTAATTCATACTTGATCTTACATGTATATCATTTTTCTGTTCAATTCAATGCACCAGTAGAGCCTGTATGTTTACAAATCATTGTGCGTCTACCTGTCTTTACAAATTTAAAGTCCAACTTTACAATCAAAAAGTTACCTAACATGTACCGGTACACACTATTACACTAAAAATTACCAAGGTCGCTTCATCTGACAAACATGGCTGAAAATAACCCGGAAGAATATCCACTGGGCTCTCCTTTAGTGCACATTAAAATGTGTGAATCCCATGAATTGCAGATTGACATTATATGTGAGGACTGTGCTGAATTTATTTGTGTCACGTGTGCCAAAACAGATCATAGAGATCATGACTGGAACACTCTGACCACGGCAGCCACCCAAAGGAGAAGAGGTCTGCTTAAATTTCTGAAGAAGATCAAGGAAGAGGATCTGCCTGGAATTGATGAGAAGATGGAGAAGATTTCACAACAGATGACAGAAAATAAAGAACTGTGTGACACTGAGATTAAAAGACTACATGGACAACAACATGTTGATGAGATAATGGCCAGAAAACATCATAAACAAACACTGAGAAACAATTTGGTTAAGAAGAATGATCAACTGAACCATGTGAAATCAGAGTTAAAGAAGAAGAAGAGAGGAATTGTTGATACAGTGGAATTCATGGAGGAGAACAACAGTACCATGTCAGATTACAGCTTGATTGACAACCACAGAGAACTTATTAAAATGTTGTCTGAATTAGAGGTTCATATGACATGTATGACAAAATGTGAACATTCAGAGAGATTCATAAGACACCGTGTATATCCCAGCATGCGGGGTGTATACTATGTTGTGCGCGGGGTGTAAGCTTCCGAAGCGAGAGAAAAGGGGTCAATGTAGATCTTTTGTCCATTTTCTCAATTTACAGATATTTTTCGCCAGAAAACATATGCCTACGGAAGAAAGCATTATCTAAGGAGTATATGGATACCAATGAATCCACTGGATACCTTCTAGTTTTGTCAAACACCTCAACACAATTCCGAGGATCGGAGCAAGATTGACGCTACACTGTGTTTATGATCAAATATCAGAAGAAATCTTTGCTTTATCATCACTTTTATATTATTGTTAAATACGTGTTTACTATATAAACGTTTGTACAAATTGTCTGTAAATAAAACAGTTCGTATACAAAGAAATTGACGAAAAATTAATGTTGTGTTCGGGGTGTATGCAACATGTTGTACGCGGGGTGTATACCCCTCTCTTTTTACTCTTTAGTATCATTGTCTGAAATATCATTAAAAATATTCTTAACAATTGACTTTTGTGAAAGTTATATTTATTTTTTAAATTATTCACCAGTTTTGCAATAGCACAACTTCAGGTTCATGAATTCGATTTACTGAAAAAAAAATCGTACTTTTGACTTTGCATGCACATGGAAGTAAATGTACAGGGTACTTTGTTCAACTTTTTCATGTGATGACCAACAATTCATCCCCTCAATTTAAAGACAAATTATTCATATTATTCCTTAATAAATGCTTCACACATGCATCATTTTGAACATTTAACATTTTCTAATAATTTCTGTTTAACCTTTTTCAACATTTTTTAAAATGATACTGCATATGGAGTGTATATATCTAAGTTGATTCGATACGCAAGAGCATGCTGCTCTACGTATGTACAATTTCTTAAACGAGGTATATTATTGACAAACAAGTTGATGAAGCAAGAATATCAGCAGTTTTAATTTTTTTGTAATCATTTTATACGTTATATGGTCGATACAATGACCTTGTCAGCAAATACAATTTATCATTGAGTCAAATGCTGACTGACGTTTTCATACCAATTGTAAGTCCATTATTTATACTCTGAATATTGAGGACGGATTTTTTCCGTTATTTCACGATCATGACAATATGAGCACACGGCGGAAGTGACTGGTCAGTAGGGATGCTCACTCCTCAATGGCACCTGATCCTTCCTTTGATGTTTTGGAGGTCCATGTTTGCTCTGCACTTGTTTTGTATTGTTTTTTTTGTATTGGACTTTGAGATTAAATACTGTTCGTTATTTCCACACCCCTTTATTGAAAATATTTATGTTTTTGTAATGTCATAAACACTGCATAATTATTTCATGAAATATCTATATGCTGTGTACTTTGCCCCCAGGAGCTCACGTTTGACAGTAAACTATTTGTTTTATATTGAGGCATTGTATTGTACTGAGTACATATTTTCTAAGAATGGGCCCGGAGAGGGAGTGTTTGTGTCTTAGGTTTTTTTTAGGGGGGGGGGGGTTAAACTTTACTTCATGTATATACGATAATAAATTAGAGGAGGGGTGAACATTAATTGACATTAATTACACATCAACGTAAAATTATAATTGTACCCAAAACAGTTTTTTTTTTCAATTGTGAATGCCCTCAGAAAATTGTCGTCCCTTATTACAAATGTGCATTTTTATAGCTGGCTTTACATGTTCATTGTTTTTTGTAAAATATGAAATCTTTTCAGATAAAGAAACATAGGTAATCAGAGATTACAGAGCTCACCTCAACGTGTGTTGTCTTTAAGTAAGGCAAATTAAGTCACACAATTAACCAACAAAAAGTGTACATCCAAAAATGCAAAATTTATGCAAATTTGATACTTTGGAATAGACCTATATAAAAACTAAAAACTAGTTCTTCATCATGAAAATGTAATTAAAATCCAGCATCTGAAGCAAGATTGAGAGTTTTCATCCCTTGATGCATCATTTGTGCAACTGGTTTATATAAGCCTTATAGTTTCTTGGTGATAGACTTGCACCCATAACTTTTACGAGGTCTATTATCTGGAAAATGTATGTCGAATTCAGCATCTGAAGCAAGTCCATTAGTGTGCATCCTAAGATGTATCATCCATGCAAGTTTGGTCAACATAGGGCTTAAAGTTACTTGCAAATGAAACCTGTATAAAAAAATTAACCTTTCCACTAATCCAGAAAATGTAGGTCAGATTCAGCATCCGAAGCCAGCCTAGTAGAATGCACCCTTAGATGTACCATCCATGCAAGTTTGGTCATTATAGGGCTCAAAGTTACTTGGAAATGAATCCTGCACCATAAACTTTAACCTATTTACTCGTCCAGAAAATGTAGGTCAGATTCAGCATCCGAAGCAAGTCTGGTAGTATGCATCCTAAGATGTACCATCCATGCAATTTAGTCGTTATAGGGTTCATAGTACTGTACCTTGGAAATGAAACCTGCACCCAAAATTTTAACCTGTTTACTCAACCGGAAAATGAAGGTCAGATTCAGCATCCGAAACAGGTCTTGTAATATGCATCCTAAGATGTACCATCCATGCAAGTTTGGTCATTATATGTCTCATAGTAACTTGGAAATGAAACCTGCACCAAAAACTTTAACCTGTTCACTCAACCGGAAAATGTAGGTCAGATTCAGCATCCGAAGCAAGTCTAGTAGATTACATCATAAGATGTACCATCCATGCAAGTTTGGTCATTATAGGGCTCAACGTATCTTCGAAATGAAACCTTCACCAAAAACTTTAACCTGTTCACTCAACCGGAAAATGTAGGTCAGATTCAGCATCCGAAGCAAGGCTGGTAGTATGCATCCTAAGATGTATCATCCATGTAAGTTTGGTCATTATATGTCTCATAGTAACTTGGAAATGAAACCTGCACCAAAAACTTTAACCTGTTCACTCAACCGGAAAATGTAGGTCAGATTCAGCATCCGAAGCAAGTTTAGTAGAATACATCCTAAGATGTACCATCCATGCAAGTTTGGTCATTATAGGGCTCAAAGTATCTTCAAAATGAAACCATCACCAAAAACTTTGACCTGTTCACTCAACCGGAAAATGTAGGTCAGATTCAGCATCCGAAGCAAGGCTGGTAGTATGCATCCTAAGATGTATCATCCATGTAAGTTTGGTCAACATAGGGCTTATAGTTACTCGGAAATGAGACCTACACCAAAAACTGCACCAAAAATGTTAACCTGCACCAAAAACATTAACCTGGTCATATCTTTGCTGAAATTGCAGCATCTGAAACTTTGACAATGAAACACACTAGCAACATCTTCCATGCATGTCTAATCAATATAGGACATAGAAGTACTTAAAAAGAAAACTGCTCCAAAAAACTTAACCTTAACCCGGGACGCCGACGCCGACGCCGACACCGACACCGACGCCGAGGGTATCACATAAGCTCCCCCCAACTTCGTTGAGGTGAGCTAAAAATGAGTCCACATATTGCAAAAACTGAAGACAAAATTAATTTAATATATCATACAAACACGTAATATCACCCCCCTTTTTGTTCCAGACACAACTTTTCACTACAGAAAATGTTCATAGAAAGTCAAGTTGCCCCCGCCCCCTTTTCTTGCAGCATAGCCAAATGCAATGATTATAAAGTAAAAAAAGGAGAATTGTTACTGAAAAATATGGGACCTTCAATCCCATCTGAAATAGGAGTTTTGAGATTCGATAAGACCCCCCCCCCCCCCCCCCAATTCTTATAGCCAGTCAACTTGTGTCAATGTTTTTTTTAGGTCCCCCCTTCAAAAAGATTCTACATCTCTGACCAGTGTCATAAATGCTTAAGAAAACATGTATTGATAACATAAAGGTGCAGAAACAAAAAAGAGATTTATTCATAATACACCATTCATGTAGTGTTGCTATTATTTTTAACAGGCTAAATATTTAGATTAAAACGATCCGAAGAAAAGACAAAGTGTCCTCAATGCAGTGATAGAGGAGTGGGGATATGTTATGATTACGTAGATTTAGAACATTGCGCCATCTATACAGTGTAGCATTAATTCAGATATCAATCGCTCCTTACACATCTAGCACCTATTATGTTTGAATATGCTAGTTTGTTTTTAATTTAATTTTTTTCATTCCTTTATTTTTTTTTAATTTAGTTAATTTGTTTTATACTTCAGTAAGTTTATGGACTTTACGTTTAGGTTCGGCATTAGTATCAAGGTCTTTATCAACACTACCTGTCGCCTATAAACCTTTGTAAATTATATTTCCATAGATACTTCGCACTAACAATCCTAAGAAAAATATGGGGTATACACCCCGCGTACAACATGTTGCATACACCCCGGACACAACATTGATTTTTCGTCAATATCTTTATATACGAATTGTTTTATTTACTGACAATTTGTACAAACGTTTATATAGTAAAGATGTATTTGACAAAAATATAAAAGTGGTAATAAAGCAAAGCTTTCTTCTGATATTTGATCATAAACACAGTGTAGCGTCAATCTTGCTCCGATCCTCGGAATTGTGTTGAGGTGTTTGATAAAACTAGAAGGTATCCAGTGGATTCATTGGTATCCATACACTCCTTAGATAATGCTTTCTTCCGTAGGCATATGTTTTCTGGCGAAAAATATCCGTAAGTTGAGAAAATGGACAAAGAACCTACATTGACCCCCTTTCTCTCGCTTCGGAAGCATACACCCCGCGCATAACATAGTATACACCCCGCATGTTGGGATATACACGGTGTAAGAGGTGAAATCAATAATCAAGACTTTCTTGATTCTCTGGTTGGAAAAACTGTAGATTTAGATATTAGTGTGACTCAGATAAACTCCTTTCAATATGGAGATAAAGCAATATACACTTTGGAGACTAACAGTGACGACCAATGTTACCTATATGAAATTTATTCAAATTATGTAGAAAAAGTCAACCAGCAAGGTGTAAAAGAAAGTAGATTTAGTATCACTCCTAATGACATGTGTGTGACTGATACTGGTGATGTTTATTTCACTGATTTCAGAAAAGTCCATCAGCTGTCTGTCACCATCAGGATCTGTCTTTACAGTCATCAGTACAGATCCACTGGTACCAGGAGGAATCTGTCAGTCAGTGGATGGTGGACTACTGGTCACCTTGATAGACTTGGAATCAGATCTTTACAAAATAGTGTCACACAGCAGACGTCTGGTGAGACACATCACATTGACAGGTGATGTCATCCATGAGTATGAATACCAGGAGGACGGTCAGACCAGACTGTTTACAATGCCATACAAAGTCACACAGAACAGTAACATCTGTGTTGTGAACCGTTCAAGTGATACGACAGGTGAACTAGTGATTCTGTCTCCCTCTGGTCATATAAAGTCTGTCTACAGTGGACAGAACCTGAAAGAGAGCTTAAATCCATCTGATATAGTGTGTGACTCCCTCTATAACATCCTTGTTTCTGACTGTAACAACAAACAGATTCATCTACTGAATCCTGACGGGGAGTTCCTAAAGTTCTTACTCCAGGAGAATGAAGTAAACAGTCCATACTCACTGACCCTATACAAGTCTACACTGTGGGTGGGATACGCGGGAGGATTTGTTAAAGTGTTTCAGTACACAATGTAAAATGAAATATTTCCATTTCTAATTTTTTTTCTCTGTGATAACCCTTTGAAAGTTAGCGGAGTTGATTTCTTGATAATTCTACCGGAATGTAAATTAGGCAGGTCGATAGGTCAGGAGCTAAAAGGCCTAATACGCATGCAAATCTCGTGCGCATCTGTCTCCGTGTCTGACGCTAAGAAGGCAAAATATGCATGTAAATCTTGTGCGGCTTCTTGTAAGGACTATTGAAATCGACATGGAAGTCCTCATGGAATTTAAATTTGTCTCCACATTTTTTAAGTCTAAATCTACAATTTTATTTTGCAGTGAAATGGAAATATAAGGAATCACTGTCTAGTTAGAAGGGTATGTCAGGGACATCAACAATAGTGGGAAACATGGGATAATTTAAGCATATTATCCCATGTTTCCCACTATTGTTGATGCCCTGACATACCCTCCTAACTAGACAGTGATTCCTTAGATAATTTTACCGATACATAAATTATTAAGGAATGGATATATCAAATTTAAGTGTTTGGATATGTAATGCACATGTATACTGATTGAAGTCATATGTATGAAATTACAAGAGTTGTAGAAAAGAATTTAAGATTAGTTTTCATCAAGAAACATTAAACTTAACTTTGGTATATCTGTATGTGTATAAGGAGTACATTGTAATTCTCATATATTGTAATCGAAGTCAAACTTAATCACATTTTAACCACATTTACGTATACTGATTGTTTTAGCATGATAATAATAGGGGAATCCACTTTTCCCAATACTGTATAAGTGGAAATTTAGCGATTTGTCCTCAGAAACTGATGATTTTATTTTAGCAAGATGTATTACTTAATTTTCAGCAATTTTCAATTTTAGTGACCTCGGCACCCACACTAATAATGACAAAATTAAATCCTTGCTAAAAAATTCCGCTTGTATGTATGGTATACCCTTGCTTATAATTCAGTGATATTGAGTCAACTGCACAAGGCTTCTGAAAAATCTGCAATAAATTAAATTTAAATTATCTTGCAGGGTTATTCTATCTAATGTACTTCAGCTATCTCATTTGGATCTAGAAGGGTAGATCACTCTAACTGAAAAAAAAATATCATGGAGAACACTTACCACAAAAGATGAAACTCATGTGCACGATTTCACAAGTAAATCGTGCATGTATTATTCTAGGTACTGCATCACCAAATACAACAGAAAAAGGGGAAACTGGTTTAAAATACTTTGATGTATTTAAGGGGGATGTACAAGCCATATTGGATCTAGTCTGGTGTAAACTAAGAAATACCAAGAATGCGCTTAATACTCTACTAAACTAGCCCAAAGTTACTCAAAGCGCTAATGCACTAATTACCCACTTTTAGAGACCAAAATTAGTAAATAATTAAGTTTATTTTGTCTTAATTAGAAGGAAATTAATCATGTTAGAACTGCGCAGTTACAGCATTCATGAGATGAAAAATGCATTGAAAATGGAGTTAGTTTGATTCATTGATAATATGGCTACAACCATTTGTTTCGCTTTTTTCTTGTCATTATCCATAATTCTTGAAAATTTGATTTTTCATATGGGTGTATTCCTGAGGCCATGTGTTTATTTCGTCCACCATTCCTCTGTCACACAGAGTTCGAATAACATTAATTTTAGAATAAATGCGACCATAATAACATCAAGACAAGAAATTACTAAGTAATAAACATTAGATTATATCACTTGCTACTTTTATTTGTTGCATCGCATCGTCTGATTAATGAAAAAACGCGATTTTAACCCCACTCCAGCAAATCGGAAAAAACTATTCTGTTTACAGCTCGAATTTCCTCGTTAATATCATTCCACTGAGCACGTGGTTGGCATGTGCATATATCTGCTGTGGATAGATGCGTTTATTACCAAGATTATATTTAATTTTTCATGGAACAAGTCTTGATAATTTGTTGGTTTCTTTAAAACTCAAGAAAAAAGATAAAAAAAAATGTCCTAAACATATGTGTTTACGTCGGGTCTTTTTTTCTGTGGCGATAGAAGTTATTATCAAATGGGGCACTGGAAGGAGGATGCTTAGCATTTAATTTGAAAATGTTAAACAATATGCGGTGCATGAAAAACAAAGTGCAGTTACATGTCTTACATTCGAAAAGTTGGTACATATATCTATTTTGTTAAGCAGTTAGACAGAAAAAATAGACAGTTATAAGATTTCCTTCAGGCACCTCACATAAATAGCTAGATTGTTTGCAATGACCCACACATTGTATGGAGTAATGTTCGGACATAAAAACGCATCATGTCTCATTATGTTGACAACGTTGTAAGCTCTCGCTCATTGAACATACAAAGCTTGATAAAATATATTGAGTTGTTTCTTTGAAATTTAGAAGCAAGCACAATGTTTGCAAAGAAAGGTCCATTGCATATGCTATGTCTATCATCGCAAAAAAAGTGAGAGGCTAACCCCCCCCCCCCCCCCGAAAATCCTCTGTTTTTTTCAAAATAGTGCCAACGATTCAAAAAGTTTGCATTACTAAGTATGTGATGGAACATATAGCCTTATAAGACCATTTGTTTTAAACAATAAAATGCCTTTTTTTGTTTGTTATTACTGGAATGAACGGAATTAAGCAGCTGTTGCAGAAAAAATACATAACCCGCGTAAGCGGGTTATGTAAATTTTTTCTGCAATAGCTGCGACCGTTCATTCCAGTAATAACAAAGAAAGACATTTTATTCTTTATATTTATATTTGTTTAAATAATCAATTAAAGTAGGATTAAAAAGATTAATTATTGTATTAATGATGCGAACGTCTTTATACGTTTCATTGATGGAACAGCCACTGATTAAGAAATCTGTACAGGCGACATGCCTACTGTAGTTTATGCAATGATGAATGCAGTGGGGTTTCTTAAGAAATAAAGGGGAAAATGTTCAGTGGATGTAAATATATAAAAATATTTGGTTGCCCTTTCTCCCGATCTACTGCCTAGAAATGGCCCGACTCAATTTTTTTTACATCCCATTACACGGTTTTTTTCCGTCAACAAATATGTTTAAATTTTTAAGGAATTTTTTTCTCACCTATGAATACCGACCCAATAATTTTTCCCTGAGTTGGGAGGACCACCAAACGTTATTTTAAAGATGGTATAAAATATTTAATTATGTTGATTTTTTTCTTTACTCTGTAAAATTGTTATTTTGACAAAATGGGCAAATAGAAAAAAAGTTTTTTTATTCATTAAATCTTCTAACCCACTCTGAATGATTTCATTCCTTTTCAAATGTTGCTCTGCTGTAATGAAAATTGTAAATGTTTATTTGACAGAGTATACGAGGGGTGATCAAAAAGTAAACGACATCTTAGGAATTTGATAGTTATATTATTGTTGATATATTCAAGTATTTTTCAAAGTGTAAATTGGAGGTCTTTGATAGCATATTGCTTAATTAAAAACACATCCCCTTTTAAACTTGCTTTCACCGGGCAACATAATAAGTATCATATTTAACCATTTGCCTTCCTTCACTAAAACGATCTATCTAATCATTGATTGACTTTAGAGGAAGTCATTTGTCTTAATAAACTGTGAACAAATTCTTATACGATACTTCAAAGGCATTTTTAAGATATACCATAAATATTTTAGTCGTTTGTTGAACGAGTTCCACTGAGACAACCATTTTTCGTCACAAGTACCTGCATAATGACATCATTTTCACACTGTGAGAAAAACTTTATTCAGCATATGCTATTTATAGAACTTGTGTGCACCAAATTTGTTTCTAATCTAAATTGCGGTTTTGTAGATAGTAGATACACATGTATAGAGATAGTTTGCGAACTTCTTGATCACCCCTCGTACTAGTAGGTACTAAAACAAGGTAATTCATATCGATTTTATGTGTTTAATTTCTTCGTGTTTCAATGGTGATAATTAAACTTTTGATAGATATTATAAGTTATCTATGGCAAACTTACAAACTCTTAATTTTTAACTTTGATGGTGCTCATTTTTCCTTACCTGGAGTCAAAGGGTTTAAGATTTTTTTTTATATCAATACGTACACTATTTAACAACTGTTCGATAATAATACTAAATAAATTACTTCAAGAAACACTATAACACATTTCCTCTTTTAAAAGTGTTCATATTATTTGAAATATTTTGCAACTGTAATTCTCTTCTACATTTAAAGATTGTTATGTCCCTCCATATTAAGAAGAGGTCTGGAAAACAAAATTCTGTGCTAAAAATAGACCACGGTGCTGCTATCCATGAACTACATTCATGGTTCTTTACACTCTTTTTGAAGACAACGATACATTGTTTTGAACTTGAAATTATCATTTGAAAGTGCAAAATTTAGACATTTTCTCAACAAATGGTTGTAGAGAGAACATTTATGCACAGTTTGCGTATTTTTTTTGGATTTTTTAAGGCTTTGCTGAATTCTGTAGTTGCGCAGTTCTAAGGAGCATATCAAAAGCAATTTTCTGCAAAAGTTTAGATTATATATGCACAACATGCATTCGGTTATGCATATTTATTGTATCTTTATCAAAAAGACTTAAAATTTGATCAAAACATAATGTATTTTAGCCATTAGAAGAAATGTTTATATTTTGTTCTCACTGCACTAAAGGTGGCCGTACATCCCCCTTAATATCATTCATAGAAATAACAATAAATAAATGCCATAATCTGAGGACTCACTAGTAAAGCCCCACTATAACAAAGTCTGTCTTTGATAATCTTTACATTAGGTGCCCTTGAAATTCATGTATATGTTTGTACAGCTAAATGCCATCAAAGGCGGGAAAATATATGGTGTGAATTAATAACTCATGAGAAATGCTGCTGACAAAACAGTCCTTGAATAGCAGATATGCAACAATGTATGTCATTAATATCGTTTAGTACATGTATAAATGGAAGACATTTATCAATTTTGCTAACATTTAACAAAAAAGATAACCAATGCTTATTTTAATCTT